TACCTCCTATTTTTCAAAAAGAGGCACGCTGCTCACTCCCTCACTATTCATCCTTCAGTTCAAACAGTCTTATACTGCCATCTAGGGGTCAAAAATGCACTACCCACAAAAATTAACCAACATTTCTTCTTAAATTTGACATGACTACTTATTGTCACATTTCAAATAATATTATCGTTTATTGCAATAATTTCTGAGTCAATTAATCGTCCAGCAAAATTTGTTATCGTGACAGGCCTACTGTTTTGTAGCAGTTGTGATTTTACATCCTGATCATTTTTAACCTATTTGTTTAAAATAATCTAAAATTGGTGATTTTTGTTTATTTACTGATTTTAGCAATACCAAAAGCCAATAAAGAAAATGAGTTTTAAAGTGTTTTTTTTTTTTTTGTAATTGAGATAAACCTTCAATTCAACGACATAAAGACATCTAACAAAAAAAAAGTTCCGGTCCTGTTGGCGTCCTCGTGCCGTGGCCTTCAGCTCTCATTGGAGCGGTTCACAGCCGGCTGTGTTGCGGCTGGGATGAGAATCAGCACCTCCAAATCTGAGTTCATGGTCCTCAGTCAGAAAAGGGTGAACTGATCTCTGGTCGTGAGGTTCTGACTCAAGTGGAGGAGTTCAAGTATCTCTGGGTTTTGTTCACGAGTGAGGGAAGTATGGAGCGTGACGTTGACAGACAGATTGGTGCTGCGTCTGTAGTATTGCAGACTCTGTACCGGTCCATTATGGTGAAGAGGGAGCTGAGCTGTAAGGCAAAGTTCCCGGTTTACTGGTCAGTCTACGTTCCTACCCTCACCTCTGGTCATGAACTCTGCTTAGTGACCGAAAGAACGAGATTGCAGATACAGGTGGCTGAAATGAGTTTCCTCTGCAGGGTAGCTGGACTCTCCCTTAGAGAAGTTCAGTTATCCAGGACAGACTTGGAGTAGAACCACTGCTCCTCCACATCGAGAGGAACCAGTTGAGGTGGTTTGGGCATCTGGTAAGGATGCTTCCTGGGCGCCTCTCTAGGGAGGTGCTTCAGGCATGTCCAACTGGGAGGAGACCTCAGGGAAGACCCATGACACGCTTGAGAGACTATGTCTCTCTGTTGGCCTGGGAAAGTCTTGGGGTCTTCCCAGAAAAGCTGGAAAAGGTGGCTGTGGTAAGAGATGTCTGGACATCCCTGCTTTGGAACAAGCAGAAGATGATGAATGAATGGATGGATGGATGGATGGATGGATGGATGGAT